CTTCTGCTGAAGCTCAGACTCTGGCACAGGATCGGGAACGTTGGAAGCTCTGTCTAGCGCGTCTGCCTCCGCGACCCGAAAGGAGAAGCGGCGGCCATGGAAGATGATGATGACAATAAAATACCTGAATATTTTGAAATTTTAGATTCTTCACGAATGTTTATGCAACTACTACAGTCAGTCAGAAGAGACGCTTGCGAGAAATTTCCGATCTGCTTTGGGTCATTTCACTAGACGAAACAAAGCATAAGTTTCTGACTGGTTCAGGCAGTTTTCTTCACACCATCGGTCGTCAAGGCAGAGTGGTTTGTCACTCAGTTGTAACGTCGCATTTGGATAATACTTCTCAGATAGCCCTGCGTGTGAAAACTGCTATGCGAGACTTCTGCGCAACAGGTCAGATCATGATTCCATTCATATCCTAATATGTTTATGTTTACTGCTTTATTTATGTACAATGAAGCAACGTCCTTTAACTTCCTTCGCACTATGCGATTGTTTTACATCTTTGACCTCTTCGTGACAAAAATACAATTTAGCTTACCCTGACTGAGGAAGCATCTTGGAGCTCAGCGCTAACCAGAAAGCTGTACGTTGATTGCATTGCAGTGTACTGCAAGCCGGCACGAGTGTAAATGCGACCGTTCTAAACGTAGCTGATGATTACGGCTGACAGCAGAATTAGCGTTTACCTTTTTGTCTATTTTGAAGTATTCGTTTATGTTCTCAGGAAATATGCTGAATATAACGTGGGATGTTGTATTGACATCCACCTGACCAACGTAGGCTTCGCTTTTCCCCTCTTCGACGACAAATTCATATGCATCTTCGGTAAATTCGATTAAATCGTAATCACTGGTTGTAATGGCTGCCTTCGATGATGGTGGAGTGATCACTTTTATGGTAATATTCATCTGAAGAAATTTAAAGCCGGATCAACGGTTGTTCAGTCTATACTATATATAGATATATTTCTTGTTTACCTTATCCACAAATAAGCCGTCGGAAACTATGGGAACAATGTGGTATGTCGAATTAATCTGCGGAAGTCTGTCAAAGACAGTGACAAAACCGAGCTTAGGATGAACACGAAAGAGTCCTGGCAAAATTATCCGAATATTATTGTGATTATTCTTCATCGGCGCGGAAGGTACCTGAGCTGTCTTCTAACGAATAATCAAATTCAGGGCTAAGATCACGATCTTGTGCATGGAGCATGACTATCGGCGTGAACGGGTCGATATCCGATAGTATGGTAACGTTGGTGGCCGATGCAGCCAGCACTGGTGCGTTGTCGTTCACGTCTAGTACTCTGACTTCCACCTGAAACAAATCATGATTTTTCC